GACCAGCAGAAAGGCGGTGGGTGCCAGGCAGGGTCACGGAGGGCATACAACCCAAGTGTGTTTTGTATGTGAGTCAGATGTCATGACGAAGCCCACTATGCTGTACAATTGACACACAGCACAGAGAATAGAGCAAGAGTAATCAGTGCTCCCTGCACACACTGCAGGGCTTGGTGTGCTCTAATTCCTCCTGTGTGCTCAGGCCTGATAGACAGGCGGAGCACTCCTGACCCCTGCTGCCCAGTGATGGAGCTGACAGCTGAGCACGTGAGTGGCTGAGCATGTGACTAGATGTTCTCTCTACTGGTTGAGTCCAGACTCCAGTCTAACCCTCTACAGTCTGGTCTCTGCCCTGGGCTACACCTGCACACTCACACCAAGACTTTGACCTGTTACACTGGCAGTCACTGTTTGAGCAGCTTACCTTGGTCAAGTAAGTCCTCCATCCCTCCTTCCCTCCCTCCTTCCTTCCATCCTTTCATCCCTCCCTCCCTCTGTCCATCCCTCCCTCCCTCCCTTTCTTCCTCCCTCCCTCCCTTTATTCCTTCAATTATTTCCTTTCTTTTCTTTGCCTCTTTTCTTTGAGACAGGGTCTCCCTGAAGCCCCAGCTGGCCTGGAACTCACTGTGCACACCAGGCTGGCCTTGTGTCATAGACATCCCCCTGCCTCTGCCTCCTGCCTGCTGGGATTAAAGACATGCACCACTATTCCTGACAATTCTTACATTTTGGGGGATAAGTCTGGATGACTGGCCACAAACTCCTAATCCTCCTGCCTCAGCCTTCCAAATGTTAGGATTACAGGTGTGAGCCACCACCCCTCACCCGAATTAGTGTTTTATTGTAAATAAGAAAAGGAATTGGTTCTTGCTGGAAAACAGGAGAGGATATAGGAAAAAACTTCTAAGCAGAATTGGGGTCAGATAAGCTTCAAGAAAATGACATTGCCTTTACAACAATAAAATTGATTTTTTGGTCTCTTTTTTAAAGACAAGTTCTCACTGTAGCCCCAGGCTGGCCTTGAACTCAGAGAGATATGTCTGCCTCTGCCTCCTGAGTGCTGGGGTTAAAGGCATGTGTCACCACACCAGGTGAAAAGTCAAATTGATTTTACCAACAACATTCAACTAGCTGGACAGAGAAGCAAGTAAGGTAGACAGTGGCAGAGGGACAAAATACAGGGCAGTGGGTGTATCAACAAGACAGAGGCTGAGTAACAGGTCATTGAGAAGAGGTCAAAGGAGAAGAGACTATTTAAAGGAAAATTAGGCCTGTCCAGGAAAGGGGCGAGAGATAGCTCAGCAGGTAAGAGCACTGGCTGCTCTTGCAGCCATCCCGGGTTCAGTTCCCAGCACACACATTATGGATAACAGCCATTGATTCCCAGCACCCACAAGACAGCTAACATCTGGCTAAATCATCTGTAACTCCAGTTCCAGGGGATCCAACACCCTCTTCTGACCTCCATGGGCCTTGCATGATGCAGGTACACTTACATACTTGCAGGCAAAACACTCATACACATACAATAAAAATAATAAAAGGTTGTTTAAATTTTTTTAAGACAGAGGCTGAGTAACAGGTCATTGAGAAGAGGTCAAAGGAGAAGAGACATACAATAAAAATAATAAAAGGTTGTTTAAATTTTTTTAAAAAGTATCTAGGAAAGAAGGTGTCCAGTGTTTGTAGAAATGATCTAGAGAAAAATGGATAGCAAATCAGATAAAAGCACTTTACTTTTAACTTACATTAAACTTAACCTCTATGCAGTTCAAAAGGATGGATGATGTTCTTGTGGGAGCATCTATCAAAATATTTTAGTTGACTTTATTGATCTCTAACCAATTCCGAAGCTGAATATCTTTGGGAAATCTATTAACTAAAATTCCTAGTTAATCTGAAAGAATTTTTTTTTCTTATGCTATGCTTAGCTCTACAAGCAGTATCTGAAAGTGATTTTGGGATTCCTCATTCTTTTTAATCTTCATCTTCTGGACCATCTAAAAAGTAATACAGCAACTAGAGGTCTTCTAAAATTCCAGAGTGCAGGTGCTCATTCAAATGACAATAAAATTTTACAGTTTTACTTGGGCATGGAGTATAGCTTGTGTAGGAATATAGTCATTTTTTAAATTGCCTCTTTTTTGAGTAACAGTGTTTTATTGCCAAAGGCACGACCTCTGTAGTGAGAGTCCCTGAAAATGTTAACTACAACTAAAATACAGTCATCTTTTCTTTTGTGGAATCTCCTCTGTAATTGTGACCAACCATCAGATTACTAGAGGATTTGACAAACATATCGCCTTGAACATATTACTACTCCTCATGTCTTTATTCAAATCTGATAGAATTCCAGTGACATGCACTGAGCAATCATGGATGCCAAGGGTACCAAGCTCTCTACACTAATTGTAGGTGAAATGAGCTTTAGAATACGCAGGCGAAAGCTTAAGTGCAGGACTGATGTTAGATGTACTCTAACACCAATAGGACTAAGGCTAAAAGATGGAACATTCCAAAGTGCCCCCAATGATAAAGAGGTATTTTTATTGTAATTACCTCCCAAAAGAAAGACTCGTATACTATAGATGTTATTTTCTAAGTTCGTAAAACTAAATAAAGCACCATTCTCAAAAATCAAGAAAAGAAGAACACGAAAGAAATCCTTTCTTCAGAACTGGAGAGATGGCTCAGTGGTTAAGAGCACTGATTGCTCTTCCAGAGGACCCATGACAGAGGACTACATGACAGTTAAAAACCGTACATAAGTCCAGTTCTAGGGTATCTCTTGTGGCCTGTGTGGGTATTGCATGACACAGGTGCACTTATATACATGCAGGCAAAACACTCATACACATAAAATAAATAAGCAAATAAAAAATTTTAAACATAATTTCATTGTCTTTCAATATCTCTAAGGCTTGTATCTTTCCTCTATTTCTAAGGACTTCTCAAAATTTAAGCTTCTTACTCCCAGAAAGTGAAACACCTGTATCTCAAAGGGCCTGCAGAAAAAAATTAGAGGGCTTTTAAAAATTTCTTTCTGTCTTTTGAAAATTAAAAATCACTTGGCTTACCAGAAAACATATACATATAGGTAGATATTTGGAATTTTATCATTGGAAACCAACTTTAAGAAAATTCTGTGAGGGCACAATAAAATAAAACCTTCAGTCTCCAGGTGGTTAAAATTAGCAAAGTAATGTTTTCATATATCCAGGGCCCCACAATTTAGATGACTAATTTGAAATTTTCATTGGCGGTCCAAATAAGTTGGAAGACATTTAGGTAATAAAAGGGCTCCTATGAACTGAGCATCATGGCCCATGGCTATAATCTTAGCACTCAGGGAGATGGAGGCAGGATTTGGAGTTCCAGACCAGCCTGGGCTACAGAGTGAATTCAAGGCCAGTCTGAGCTGCATAAGGAGACCTTGTTTCGAAAACCCAAACGCTAAGCATGTGGCTCAGTGCACAGCCTGTGCACTGGATGTGATCCCGGGTACCAAAACTATGCTGCATGGATACCAACAACACTAGATAGCATATTGGCTTCTGTTTCATAAGCACATAACCTAACCAGGCAGTCTGATGAGTCACAGACATTTCTGAATTCTCCCCAGTGTATTCAGCGGGCCTGAAATTTATCTTAAGAAATATTTACACAGGCAATAAAGTATAAACCGGAGGCAGCAACCAGCAAAAAGGACACACAAGTGGGCAAGTTTCTTTACCAGGAAGCAACCTTGTGGTAAAAAACAGACTTTCCCTCGGAGTTTTCAGCAGAGGCTTGAGGCTCTTGTTCTAACCTGGCAGGTAGCTTTCAGATCAAGGCAGCTTGGAGTCGCAGTGTGAAGCCCCCATTTCCCCACCAGAACTCTCCCAGGAAATCTTTTTAAGACATCAATTTGGAGAATCTTTTTCTGAGTCCTTATACCGGAGCGAAGCCGCCCAGTACCCGGCTGGCGTGCTCCCCGCTCCGCCCTCAGGCTCAGGGGCCCTGACCCCAGCTCACCGGATGATCACGAACATGACCAGCGAATTGCCCACCAAGCCCACGACGAACACCACGGAGTAGACCGCGGTGATGATGACCGGGATGGCCGGGGAAATGTGCGCGGGCTCCAGCTGCGCGTCCTCGGAGCCGATGCTGCCGTTGTCGGACTCTGCCCAGCCGGGAAACCAAGCGCTGCTGTTGGGGAGCAGGCAGGCGCTTGGGGCACAGGTGGGGCCTGGCTCTCCTCGGAAGATCTGGACCGGGGACTCCATGGTGAGGCAGAGGCAGCTGGAGAGCGACCAGAAGCGGCACCTGCGGGGTTGCGGGACCAAAAGGATACGCTGGACACAGAGACGCAAACTTTGTCGCACAGCAAGTCAGCGCCCTCGGGCTGGCGGCGCTGGAGACCAGCGACCCTTTGACACTCAGCGGTAGCGCATCCTATAGGGAGGAAGACCTCCTGCTGGCACCCCCGCGGGCTGCCGCGGCTGGGTACCAAGCTGGGAGGCAGACAGAATGCAGAGAATGTGCACCTTCTCAGGTTCCTTAGCTGCTCGCCTTCCCCAGGCGTTGTCCACTGTGTGACTATCCCTACCCTGCCTCTCTGAGCTTCCAAAGGACAAGAAGTACCCCCAACCGCCGCCCCACTGCACCCAGGTCAGAGCGATCCTCTGACTGTGCCTCGAAAGCCCGAAGCTCACCTCTGGATGTGGAGATAGACGACTACGCGCCAGGTCCCCCAGGTCAGCCTTCCTGGTCGCCACGCGCCTGTGGACCCGGCGTCTCTGGCTCTAGACCTTGGCTGCGCTCTGGATCCTGGGTGTCTGTTCTGCCGGATGCCTTTCCTGTCCTTGCTCCGAGCGTGGCTCCCACTACTGGAGGAGGCTCAGCTGGTTGGGATGCAGCTGAAACGCGGTTCGGTGCAGGGCACCCGCCAGAGCCGCTGGGCTGGCATACCCGCGGGAGTTCTCTCCATGCTCATCCAGAGCCGGCCCCCAGTCCCACAGCCACAGCTAACTGCCTGCACACTTCCTGGCTCTCCTGGCCCTGCATCCTCCCCAGTCTCCCAGCACTGAGCTTTGGGCCAGTCACAGGAAAGGACGTGCCTGTATAGTGCCAGGGTAGATATGGATCATTCAAGCGTGCTTGGAATGTAATGTGTTCATTATTCATAGACCAGTCTCTCTAGGCAAGAAGAGCCGTCCTGATTTCAAGTTTTATTTATTGGAGGATGCAAGTAGTTACAAAATTACCTGATTAGAGTCAGACTGGGTCATAAAGCATTAGTGGTTTAAAATTCATAAAAAGAATGTTTCTGGGCCTCTGTGACTCTCAGTCTGCCCTGAGATGGCAGGGTGTGTGCAGACTGCACTTTACAGGTACCAACAGCATTGTGTGCTGTCACTGCAGAGGCTCTCCCTACCAGGCCCCACTGGTGGAGCATTAATCCACAGCCCTGAGTTCTCCTCTCTTCTTCCTCACAGTGACAGGGTCTCTACTAAGTGCTAGAAATTGGAGAGAAACTTTGTAGAGAAAGTAGGTTACCACTGTGTGAGAAACTGGCAGTCCGTTCCCCGTCAGATGCTATTGCAGGAAAAAGTCCATAGGCAAAAGATGTTCAGGCAGGGACCTAGAGTTCAGCCCTTTCAGAAGGTCCTGGAGAGAGTGGGGAGGTTCACTTTACCCCACTAGGTTCTGTAGGTAGGACTACAGCCAACCAAGAGTGAAGCACTTGAATTGCTCTAGTGTTTTCATGGCCTCAGAAAGAAACTCAGGTTCCCACAGCTTCTAAGAATGCGCAGCAGCAGCACAAAGCACACTCCATTGCTCCGAGGGCTCATCCAGCACTTCCACCCATCAGCTGTGGGCAGAGTGGGATCCTGCTCCTTTCAAGGCACCATAACTGTGAAGAGCTTTGTTCATCAGTCTTCCCATGGGTTACAAATGCCACCAGCGACCCTTCACCCAAGTTCTGAGAAGAATGATCAAGTCTTGAATCTTTAGGTTTTATTGCAATCTCTCATTAAAATTTGACATCTGCTTCTGCAAACATCAGCCTCTCTGGAACCTGTGGAAATCTAAGACTGCCCTCTCCATATGGAGCATCGCTGTCTTTCCTTCTGGTCCAGGGGCTCACTTCCTGCTATAGGAATGTGCTGCAAGAAAACCAGGCCAGCAAAGATATTTTGCTTGAAATTAACAAAAACTACAACCGAAAACAGAGAAGTATGGATGAACAGAAGCAGTGAACATTTATTCTAATTTTCTATGGACTCATTTATTGTTTTTAATGTGTGTGAGAGTTTTGTCTGTATACGTGCAAGTGCACTTGTGTTCTGCAATGCCTACAGAAGACAGAAGAAGGCATCAGTCTTCCTGGAACTGGAATTACAGTTGTTAGCCACCATGTGGGTGCTGTGAACCAATCTGGGGTCCTCTGTAACAGGAACCGTTAGTCTTAATCCCTGAATCACTTCTCCAACCCCAAATATTTATTCCTACATACTCTACTCAGTGGATACAAACTTTAAATTAAAAATTAGTTCATTAACGACAAAATTTTTCAAGAAAAATATTGTATACTCCAGAATTACCCATCTCTCATATCTATTTATTATATACTTACCTATTATTTTGTGTATTAAAAGCACAACTGCCTTTCCGCCTCACATGCTTGAAGTGTGTATGTTGTGTGGGCTCCTTCTGCTCTTCACACTGTCTTTTCTTTTACATTCAGGTCTTTCACACAACTGGCAGTGCTGGATCAGAGTTCAAACACAGGCAGTCCCAAATCGATTCGTGAGCTGGTTGAGCAAAACTACTTCACGTGAGGAGGGAAATGCACAGCCCATTCCCACACCGAAACTTATGAGGATGGGATTTAGCAAGGACAGAAAAGAAGGAAAATATGTTACTGGACAAGATCTAGGTAAAGTTTTTTTTAATATTTTATCTATTATTTGTATTTTATGTATATAAGTGTATTGCCAGTATGCATGTAAGTGCACCTGTGTCCAAAGAGGATGTCAGATCTCCTAGAACTGGAGTTTACAGACAGTTGTTAACCACCATGTTAACAACCATGCTGGGAATTGAATCTGGGTCCTCTGTAAGAGCAACCAGTACTCTTAACCACTGAGCCATCTCTCCAGCCCAAGATCTAGGTAAAGTTTTAAAGATGAAAGTTTCTGATGTAAATCTTTGGTCCCCTGTTCTTCCATACTTGCATAAATATGTGTCCCTCTTCATCTTTTGGTGGACTTGTTACAGAGCCCCACAGATATCAAAATCTATATATGCTTATGTCACATGAAATACTGTAGTATTTACATATAACTTATGCACATCACCCCCTTTACCTTAAATTGTCTTCACATTAGTCATAATACCTAATACACTACACATGCCGTATAAATAGGTGTTACACTGTGCAATTCAGAGAAAAATGACTAAAGAAGTCTGTATATGTTCAGAAGAAAAAATTTAAAGAAACATGCTTTTAATCTCTGCTTGGTTGAGTCTGTGAATGTGGAACCCATGAATAGAGAAGACAGGCTACAGATGTGAGAAGAAAAGTCACTCTGGATGTACACTACGTATTGCAGGAGGCAAAACTCAGCCTGGGACTTGTAAATATAAGAGGATATGTTAAATTCTCACCACCAGTAGGAAGCCTTTCTGAGCTGAGGCAGTCTTTGGAAGGTAAAAGAATACTAATGGCAATAAAAGTGATTTTATTTCATTTTTATACCTTATTTCTCACTCCTTTTAAACATCAAATTAATAGCCCAAATAAAGTAAAGAGAAGATGGGGAGAACATTGAGATGCCTGAAGGTGGCTTCAGTTGCCAGGGGAACCTGCCTTGGTCTGGATGTGGTGAGCAGGGCTGCTACTGTGGAGTCGAGCTCTCAAGAGTATGAGATTTTATCATAATATTGAATAAAGTCTTATAAAACAGAAATAAAATAAACTGCTAAATTGCTGTACATTATTGCACACTGTTGTGAAGCTCATTCAATTAAACTTGCTAATACTTATTTCTACTTCATTCTACTCCGTACAGACATTATGCTCAACATAGCAAAGAAAACACTTTTAAAAAGAAAAGGTTTGTAGAGATTAGAAACACATGTGCAAACATCTTAGTGTTAATTGCATTAAAAATGAATTTTTCTGTATGAAACTGTATTTTAATAATGAAATGGAGATCTTTTTAAAGGTTAAAACTCATTTAATTTTATGTCTTATAGGGTTTATACTGAGTACAATAGTGTATAATTGTATTAATTCAACTGTAAACAAAAATTTTCAGCCAATTTTAAAAGAGATGCATCTTAGCTCTGGAAATTGTTACTGAATATTTCAATGCTGTTGTAATGGAATGCTTCTTCTAAGTATGTGGTTATTAAATAAATAATTTTTTTTTAATTTAGAAAAAAGAAAAGTTTGGAATTGTATTGGTTAGCACTATGAAGCACCTTGGACGGTGAGCAGCTTTGACATTCCTGTGAGATAGAAGGATAACGCCAGCCAGTTGAGATTAATTTGCCTTCTCCTGCTTCTCAGGTCAGACATAAACCAGCCATGAGTGCAGAGCCGAGGTGGCTGCTTTAACATCCCAGCTGTAACCACTGCAGTCCACTAAGCCAGAGCACAGCCAGCCCAGCTCACCTCACTATGCTGATGAGTGTCCCCAAACAGCAGAAGAAAAGCCAGGCCCCAAGAATGGCACAGAAACCTCTACAAAAGTGAACCATCTCAAAGAAGGTAAATACTCTGGCATGAGACAGAATCTAAACTGAACATTTTATGAATAATTAATAGAAATTATAGCTAACTCATAAATGTGAGATAGAAAAGGCCATAGGAGAGAGTGATCACAGGCCATAGGAGAGAGTGACTAATACTATTCTGTTAAATAGACATAGTAGTAAACCAGCTCCTAATTGTTATACCCATTGATTGATGCATCTCTCAACACTCACCAAAGAAGTTTCCTCATGCAGTAGATGGTGATTAACACAGAGACCCGAAATTGGCCAACGTGCAGAGAATACAAGACTGCAGACTGCTTATTCCTGAATAGGACACCTATACCAAACATCTGCCTTCCCAGGCTCAGGGATCGGGGGGGGGGGGGGGGGGCATGGCAAAAAGTCTGTAAGAATCAGAGGTGGCCAATGAACACAAGGAAGCAGAGTTTTCCATATAGCTGAGAAGTTTTCCATATGAACTCACAGCAGGGGTGACAGCATGAACAATTCCCATGTAAGCACAAGCCACATCAGTTCACAGCACAGAAGTCAGGAAGTAGGTAAGCATTCCCAACCCTAGCCGAGGAACTGTAGGCAACAGATAGCTGCTAAGCTGAGGGTGAGTCAGTCTTCCTTAAGGGTGAGACTCAGTAGGTGAACCGTGCTCCAGTGAATGGACCCATACCAAAGGACACTTTGGGACACAAATTTTGATAGGCCTTAAATATATAATGGGGTGTATGAAATAGGGTGGGGTGATTAGAGGGTATAGATAGCGGAGAGGGTCTAAATATGATCAAAATATATGAAGTTAACAAAAAACTCAGTTACAAAAAGAAATCAGATTACTTATCACCAATGCGACAAGTTTGTCCAAAATTTAAATTTTTCCTTCTTGGAGACATCTTGCTTTATCCCTTTCAGTAAAGTGTCATAATCAATGTGCAAATCTGCCTTGCTTGGGAATGACAGCACCCTGTGAGATATTGCACACTTACTTGGTGGATAACATGCACATGTGTGTGGAGGCTGCAAAGACCAGATGCCAAAAAACTATAGTCAGTGAAAGAACAGCAGGGGCTTCCTCCTGGAAGTGCATGAAGCTGACAATGGGCATTATCCAGGTGAGAAGGGAAATGGGTCCTCTAGGCAGGGAGCAGAAAATCTGAAGATTGGAAGGCAGGAGAGGGGCACGTTTATGGCATCATAGCCAAGGTGCCTGAGTCTGGAGGTCAAGGGTAGTGTGGGCCAAGGTACAATGGCAAGTCCTGCCA